CAACATTAATTTTGGAGCTTTCGTGACTGCAGGAATTATTCTTTGTTTCTTTCGGTTAAGTCACGTCTAAAGATAAAATAATAAATTAAAATAATAGCATATTACGCAATCGAAACGTCGTAATATGCTATTATTTTAATTTATTATTTTATCTTTAGACGTGACTTAACCGAAAGAAACAAAGAATGACACCTCAACAGCTTCACCACTCTCCCCCCCCATCCCCGGTCCTCTGTCACTCCCCTCCAACCCCCCCGCGAGTTGGGCGCGAGTTGGTAGAGTCCGGGGCTCGACTTCCGCTTCCTGGTTTGAACGCTGCGCGCCACCACTGGCGGGAAGGCCTCCGCAAGCTCAAGCAGTGGCAGTCCGCTACCTTTTGCTGCCTTTTGAGTCTTTTTTTTACCTCCTTTCTACTTAGTCTTCAACTCCTGCCGTGCACCTCTTCGCCACAACTATTAGCTCTCCTGCGTAGTCGCCTCTGAATTCGCCTCGAGTTGTGTGTTCGTTCTGCTGCTGATGCCGTTCACTCATTCGATTTCACACCGTCGCTGCTTTAATCTTCACTCGTATTGACGCTTTACTTCTCACTCACGTGTCTATTGCTTCACTTTACTCATTCACCCCTCCTACACCATCCCCCCCTTTTCATATTTCCACCACTTTGCTCTGAATGCTGTTAATTATCTTTTTATTTTAGCCCTTCGCTGCTTTTTTAAATCCAAATTGTTTTTGTTTCTCCTCATTCTGCCTCGCCCCCACCTCCGATCGCGCAGACAACCGATTATCACGGTTGGCTACGTACGGCGTGAAAGAAGTTCAACACACGCATACATACGTACATACACACACCTCTCAACTCCACTTTTATGTTGACAGGTCTCAAGCGACATGAGCTCCTCCAGACCTGACCAGCTGCTCATCGTCCTGTCCATCTTGGAAGGTGGATGATGTCCTCGTGTGTGTGTGTTTAGTGACGCTCCCTGTCCTCTCTTCTCCATGCCGCACCTCCGATTAGCGCGGTTGGCTACGTACGGTGCGAAAGAAGTTAAACGTGCATTCTTAGTTGAACATTCAGTTCAACTGTTACGTGTAAATTGTATACAATGTTCTTGTTTCTTTCGGTAAAGTCACGTAGAAGGGAAGTAATTCTACGTGACTTTACCGAAAGAAACAAGAAGATGAATCCCTGCAGTCCGAAAGCTTTAAATCGAAATGTATACAATGTAATGTTATATGGTGATTGGTCTATTGTTTATAATCACTATACAGGAATTAAATGTTAGGTGAACGGATATACGAATACTGTTTTGGTCCGTATTCTGGTTTAATTGTTTAAAGATATTGAACGCATACTGTACATAGTGTTTTGTTAAATGCTTTTTTAAAATCTTATTCTGTGTATGACGTTAATTGTAATGGTGATGAAACGTTTAAAAAGTACCTTTTGTTTTTTTCGGTAAAGTCACGTATGTAAAAATTGTAATTAAATGAAAACGTGACTTTACCGAAAAAAACAAAGAGTATGAATTCTTGCAGTCACGAAAGCTTCAAATCTAGAGTTTAAAAAGTAGTCTTTGAAAGTTTGTTTATACAGTACACGGACTTTGATGTGCGGTGCTTATTTAAGCCCAGGGCTCCCTGGAATAAGATACATAACTTTTGGTATCATTGGGCTCTTACCTGCTAATAAATATAGCTCATCAAATTGACACAATAAGTGTAAAATTACGATGTTATAGAGTTGAGTGTATCTATAAAACACAAATATATAACGGTTTCCTTTAAATGACGATGCTTTTTAAGAGACCGGTTACAGTATTTAGTTGAGCAATGCGGTCTTAATGCATAACGTTCTTATTTAAAGCCATGAATAGCGACCACGGTACCAACCACACAAAGTATAAATGGTTGTATTGTATACGGGACGATTTTACACGTACAGTACAGTGTAACACGTAGGCTTTCGCGAAAAATATCATCCATAATAGAGGTTTTTGGGTTAGATCGCGTAAATATATAAATGTGTCGTTAAGGAACGAAACGGTAAGACTTCTCCACAAATCTGGCTGTCGCCTGATGAAGCTAGTTGTAATTACTGGCGAAACGTCGTCCTCAGTTTGTAAATGTTGTGGCTTGGCTCTCCAACACACCGGTTAGTGCTGTACTAGTGACGAATTGGCACGTTCTGTTTACGTGACAAACCTTACTAATTGGCTGTGTCGGGTGGTGGCGGGTTTAACGACACATTTATATTTACGCGATATTACCCCGAGAAAACCCTGAATTATTGATGATATTCGTTGCGAAAACCAAATACATAACCCTTCACCAGCATGCTCTCACCGGCGTGAAGTATGGCTGAAATACGTGGGGAGCCCTTCGTTCAGTGGTGGATTGAAAAAGTCCAGAACAATGCATTGCATATGCTGTAGAGTGCTGTAAATAAAAATAGTGACCAAACTATACAGTCTACACGATAACTACGATTTGGAAACTTTAAAAAGTGACCCACAGAGAAACCGTATACAAGCACAACTATGTTCTCATGCCACACATAAATACAGATATGTTTTAGTTCATCCGCCTACTGATATCACAGACCAATTTGACTTGGCATCATTTGTTCAAGGAAGGAAACTGAATTTGTTTTAAGCAATACATGCAATGCTTATTGATGCTGAATCGGATCTCAATGAGTGATGCACGTCTGCTGTGTACTGTATATATAACTTATACTGGTTGGAAGCTCCTGGTGGTTACACCAGCCCACAGGGGATTATTGTGCCCGTCCGTCGTGCTGGGTGGGGAGGGGCTGGGTGGGGAGGGGCTGGGTGGGGAGGGGCTGGGTGGGGAGGGGCTGGGTGGGGAGGGGCTGGGTGGGGGTGGGAGGGGTGGGGCTGGGCGGGGAGGGGCTGGTCACCCTGTGGTGCCCTTATAAAACTCAACGTTTAACCTACTCACGCCGGCTTGTGCCCGCCCTCACAGTCGGGCATATTTGCGGAATACACCAAGCTGCCGTTGACCCTGGCCATTTACCGAGCAATCCAACGTTCCTACCAACTCCCTCCGCAGGAATGTGTTTTCGCACCATACAGTAGCCAACCGTGCTAGGCCCTCTAACATAACCCACCGTTGCTCTTCTCCCTACCTCTGCCCTGCCCATGTTCTTCCTCTCTTCCCTGCCCTGCCCCATCCAAGGGCGCCGCTTTCCCAAGCGTCTGCGGCACCAGCTCGTGGTGGAGGCCAGGTTCGATGGTGAGAGCCTCTTCACAGACCCCGTTGAGCACTTGGAGCAGCCCGAGTTCGCCACCGAGCTCGCCTGGGAGCTGGACCGCAAGTCGCTGCACCAACACAGGTACAGAGAGCACCTCCAAACACCTCGCCTTTTGTCCCACCATCATGTTGTACGTTTTATAATTAAATTAGTACGTTTTAGAATAATAATATAACTCAATACAACCTTTGAGCTTCCTCTAAGGTTGTCCTTTGGCTATTAACCTACTGTGGCGAGATGTTAACTGAGTCTTATACGGGAGGTCGTGGGGGTGATCCCGACTCTAAAATAATAATAGAATACGACGTTTCGATTGCAACACAAGCAATCATCATCAGGTAAGAATGAATGAGAAAACAAACATAGTAAACTTAAAAATATAATGCAATACAACACAGAAAGTCGGCTAACACAACAGTCAACACCCTACCTGGTTGATTACGTTCTTCCAAAGATTGCTAAATTTGAGAGAGAGAGACCAACACAGACACGGAGACACAGACATACACACAAGCAGATAGAGACACACACAAAGAGAGACACAACATAGACAGAGAGACAATGCCTCTGTGTCGAGGCCTTAAATAGAGAGAGGGGGGGGGGCAGAGAGAGAGGGGGGTTGGGGTAGAGAACAAGGAGAGAGTTGTGTCTAATTCCTGCCCATAGCGGACGGAGGAGAGACAATAGACTTATAAACAAACAAGCACGGAGTTGTGTGGAATCCCAGACCAACTGTTGCATGTCCTCTAATCCGTGTGTTCCTCTTTCTTTGTCTCAATGTAATTCCAATTATGCATATCTCCATCACACCCTTTTCAGTTAGCACCCATTGCATGCATATGACGCTGTTTCGTTATAACGCTCTTTGTCCTGGAGTAAAATCCCTGTGCGGATCAATCCTTATATGGAAGAAAGCAGGTGCGGCATTTCCCTGTAGGGGCTTGTCTTTAACCATGTGGTCTTGTGGGACCTGAATCAAGGTGTCAATTGTTTAGATTCTGCTCAAAGTCGATCCAACAGCCACGTTAGTGTATTGATTCATCGAGGGTTAATTACTGCATAAATGCATTGGCGATCGATGGATCCCATTTTTTTGTACTGTATATCTTCCCGCGGAACATGTGTTTTTAACAGACGGTGGTTAATCTTACACAAGCTCTGACTGAATGCACTCCTCAGTACATAACTTTTTGTATTTTTATGTCATCAATAAAATAAATAGTTTTTATTTATAAATTCTTTCATACATATGTTGCGGTGCAGTTTACGACTGGCTCACGCCTAACAGTTGTTACGGGCTTATGCCTAACAAGGGACTCCACTAGCCTATAACTCCCTGGGGGTAGGGTACTGGGAAACCTACCATCCCGGCATGTCTCGGGCTCTTCCCACTGCACCGGCCGAGGGGTAAACCAACTTCGGCCGGCTGGGTTGAAGCAGCCACCCTTAGCCTCGTGTTAGCTTCTGTTACCCAACTTTCACTCTCCTTCCCGGCTCTCCCGACGACCCGCTTACGTCACGGGACTCCTCTTAAATACCACCGTGGGACATGACGTCACCGTCCCCAAGGTCCGCCTGACGTCACTCCCTGCGACGCCACTCCCTCGGAGGCGAGCGTGACGTGACGTCACCCACTACTCTACACATATATCATGTGTACAGTATCATTATTATGGCTATTATTGATACCCCAATGAAGCCCTCATATATCGCTCATAGGTAAAATGTAGCTGTCGGGAACGCATTTCCATTGGAACCATGTTATAATGACCTCGTATAGCGCTGTTTCCTATATAGTACTCCGATTCCCAAGAATGCATCCTGAGCGCTATAGGTGGTATGCCTGTACATTGAGATTCTCTATTAATCTATACGTCACAGCTGTGCACCAATCCCATGTGACCCCCCACCCCACTCACCTCTCCGAGCCCTATAATCCCATGGGGATCTGCCTCCTCCAACAGACAGCTGGTTAAACCACATCACGGTGAACAAGGCTCACTAGTGTCTGAGTTCGGCCCAGGGCTAATCATGGCGAGCAGTTGCACAGCTTGCAATCCCACAACGGGGGGCTTCTGAAAGAGCTGGGCTGTATTCCTTGGTGTAGCTGAAATGATGGATGATTTGAGCCGAAGTTGCAGTGTAAACCAGTAAATGTAACAACTATTCCCAGGCTTGAGCAGTAGGGATAGTGGTTAGGATTAGTATTATAGGCAAGCGACTTGATGGTAGCATCGTTTTTTTTTAAATACCTACATCCATCACATTATACTCCAGCATCACTTCTTGCAATTACTCTTTTCCATCAGCTGCTGCCCACTTTCACCAGACTTCTCGTCTACGTGAAGGATGATCACACCTTGACGTTCCTGGAACTAGGCTTGCTTCAGAAAGAGGGTTATTCAATACTGTGATCATAGTCACCACGTTTATTTAAGTGGTTATTTTTACAAAGTATTTATGAGGGTTGGAAAAATACAAAGATTTATTGATTACGTGCTATTGTTTCTTAAGCCTGCAATACGTGCATAGAATTGCACAGGGATTGATTGTTATTCACATACGTAATATTTTACTGGTTCACGTGGCCCTTAAGCCATTGGAGATGATGCCATTCTCTGCATTGTAAAAAATATAATTTGATTCTTGAATTATAATTAATTTCATGACCCGGAATCACAACAATGTATGGAGTCGCCGAGAGATGGAGGGAATGAATCATTCCAACCTTACTAGTTATACCATTAAAATATAACTCGTGATGTTCTATTTATTTTTGAGTTGTACCACATGTTTGGCATTATATCCACACTTCACCCCCCATGCTGGGAGCATCTCCATTTCATACTGGAGCGAAACGTCAGACATCAAGGACCGAAAAACATGCAGTCCTACCAGAGCTGCATAGCTACAACTGTGAAAACAAATGCAATCGATGTCAACATAATTTTTTTTCACTTCTATGAAATTTATTATTTAAGCTACTTTTCTGCTTGTATTTTATTTGCGGAACAATGACACATTTAATATCCTTTTTCCAGGCTGCAGAGGACTCCGATCAAGCTGCAGTGCTTCGCCGTGGATTCCCCATCTGCAAAGGAGCCGGTTGGCTACGTGGTCCTTGATCTTAGGTCCGTTCAAGAAAAGCCAACGGTAAGAGCCTCATTGTGTTGCAGTGGTTAGTGCGCTGCATTATGAATCCAACCACCTGAGTTCAATTCCAGGCCACAGCTAAATTGGGAAGTGAGTAATATCTGAATGTGTCCTCAGGTCTCCCTCCTTCACCAGCTTGTGCATGGTGAAGTATGGTCAACAAACCCCATGACTGACACGGAGTGGGGAGGCTTTCATCCAACAGTGGATTAACAAGCGACTGTAATTGATTATTTTACAGAATTATAGTTTGGATTTGCATGAGAAGAACAATGTCCAGGTTTTAATCTGTGGCAAGTAAAAGGCTGTTTATATATTACTGAAAGAATTGTAAAAGTAATTGACAGACCTCATGCGCAACATTTATGTAAATACTTTAGGCAATATAGGATCTCAGAAATCTTGAGTGAATTGAAGTTTGTGCCATGCAACAATCAAAGCTACATTTGCCTGTGGCCAAATTACCCTGCAATGCACCTGATCTTGTCAGATTTCAAAAGCGAAACACGGTTAATCCTGTTTAGTACTTGGATTTTGAGACTAGCTGGAAAAATCAGGAGTTGCAGGCTGAAGCTGTGATGTGTGCAATATATGCAGGTACAGCAGTTAATTATTGAGTCTCTCTGTTGAACTTTGAGTGTTACCGTCTCATATGCGTTAGGGTTTCCTCCAAATATTCACAAGTGAAATTGGCCAAACATCACATTGCAGGACCTTGAAAGAGTCTTGACAGTTCTTGGATAAATGAAGGGTATTACCATTACATTAACATTTTTGAATGACTATAGTATAATTTATAATTGTTCAAGGTGTTTTTTTACATTACTTTTTTTAGCACAATCTGTTCCAGAAAAACTGCTCCTATTAATTTAAGTTTTTTGCCATTTTTGTTGTAGGTACGGGCTACCAATTTATCTTTCATGCCAAAGCCAAGAACAGAATACCATGCATTGTTCATTCTGTTTTTACAGGGACTCTTTATTAGTCTGACAACTGGTGCCGCTGTCCATGATTTCTTTTTTATTTAGAGGAAATAATTTACTTGTAAAGCATTTCCGTTTAATATAGAGGCAAACAAGTGAATTGCGGTAAACAATTTTAATCACTTCCAATATCATCATCAACCATAGTTAATCCACTGTCAGATGAAGGCCTCTCCAAGCTGCCATTGTTTTTCATGATGCAGATATGTAAAATCCACCTTTCCATCTCCTCAGTGGGTGTACTTTCATACATATTCCATTCCTTGGCTACCACATCTTTCACTATTGACCATTGCTATTTTCCCTTTCAGCCATGATGTGTCCTGTCCAAACCCACTTATTTTTATTAGCAGTATGAATTGTCTTAACCTGCGCCAAGTTCTCTAATCCATGCATTCCTCCTCCCGTCTCTCATTGTAATTCCCAGCATGCATCTGTCCATGTATTTTGTGCACTTTTCAATTTTACCTTCCATTGCTCTTTGCTAAATGATCACGTTTCTTGAAAACGTATGTCATAGTGGGTAGAATGTGCTGCCAGTTAATATTTATTTAAATATTTTAGCCACCCAAGTGGTACCCACTATTGAGCAGCAAGTATGCCAAGACACGTCCAGAGCTCCGGATTGGGGTGCTGCTGGAAAACGACTCAAAAGCACAGCCAGACGCATTCCGGGCCAGAGACGCTCCACCGAGAGACGGTATGTGAACTGTATTAGCAGTGTGCATACCGACAATTCCCGCCCTTCATGCTTTGCCACCGTGGGCTGCCCTTTTTGCACATCGTCATGTAGGTGAAGTATTTCACATGGTGATTTTTTTCAGTAAAGTCACGTAGATAGAAAAATAAGAATAAAATGAATTGAATTAAAAAAAAAGAAAAACACTAATGTAGACTGTAGCCTGGTTCTTAATCGGAGTGAGTACTGGAAATCTATAATGTAGACTGTAGCCTGGTTATTAAGTTTGGTGAGTGTACTGGTAGTCTATAATGTTGACTGTAGCCTGGTTCTTAACCTCGGTGAGCATACTGGCAGTCTATAATGTAGAATGTAGCCTGGTTCTTAACCTGAGTGAGCATACTGGCAGTCTATAATGTAGACTTATCATTGGTTCTTTCAGTAATAAAAAAAAAACAGGTAGTGCTGTGGCAAAATGTCAATTAAAACGAGATAGTCTTGGATTGAACCCTGGCAGGCCTGCATCACATCATGTTGGCTTTTACAGAGCTTTCCAGGAGCATCTGCTGAAGGAAATGCCATTGTCATGTTTTTTTTAATGTTCACTAAGTTAAGGAATACATTCAGGTTATATATAAAATTTATATTACATTTGTAGTGACTGGAAATATCACTGTGTAGTGCCGGGCTTGCAAGGCCATGGCGGGATGTCTACTGTTGTGTGTACACCCTGGACACGGGTGTAGTACCAGCCCTAGTGGGGGCTTGGGTGAGCGCTGGTTAAGCGCGGGGGCACCACGCACAGCGTGCGGTGCGGGCTCCCGTTGAGAGAGCGAGAGAGTGTCGGCCAGCTAGGGTTACGTTGGGGGATGATACTGGAGGGGACCACCGGTGGAGGGGGCCAACGGGTGGTCACATGGTCCGGGAAGAACTCTCGAGAGCCTTCGGGCAAGGAGAGAGAGATCGAGAAGGTGGGCGGGGCGAGAGGCGGAGCCAGCCCCAGCCCGCCCGATATAAGGGGGCCCTGTAAGGGGCTCGGGGTTCTTACTGTTGGAGAGGCAGAAGATCCACGTCAAGCTTGAAGAAGCCTCCAGCCACACGGTCCGACCCAGCTTGTGGTCCGGACCGGGATAGCGGAACCGTGTCTAGTTCCGTCGTAGCGTGGTTAGTTGGTGGTCACCACCTGAGAGTATGTTGTGTTAATAGCCTGGAGTATATTGTGCAAATAGTTTAATAAAACGTGTTGCTCCCTAAGACAACGTCTGCGACTCAGTTGGACTCACTACACATTTCTTAATTTTACATGCTTGAATATACCTGTGTGTAAAATATTGTGAGTTGTGTGAATGCTAAGATAAATTTTAGTAAAAAATTTCTCTGCGCCTTATTTTCCTTTCAACGTGCAATGTTCTTCTGTGTCTTTCCTCTACTTCTTTCAATGGAATCTGACAATGAAGCTCTTAAATCACCTATATCTATAACTAAGCTAATGCTTCTTTCTGGTAAGAAACCTTTTTCTCTATTTGTGTTTGCATATTCCTCGCTATTTTGCATATTTCTCAGAACATAAACATGAAAGCTGTATAATAGGTCCTTATCTAAATGTTTGACCAAACTTAAATCTTCTCGCTATTGATGTGAACATTTCAGCAAAACCAAAAAATTACTTTTCCTCGTCTTTATTGCATGAAGCTTTAACTTAATGTTATAAGTTAATCACAATTTAGCGACTTAATGTGTGACATTAGCTCTCCATTTACTTTGTGGTTTGCAGCACGCATTCCAAACGCCAAGGCTCTGACGGCCGTGCTGGATGAGGAGGAAGGCTTCTACTGGATAGGTCCATCCCGCCAGGCCACTGATGTCTACGTGGTGTCAGTCACCATTGCATTTGCAGCTCATTTAGAACAGGTATGTTTTATTCACTGGGAATTGGTTAGTTAGTCCATTAAGGTTTGGAGCCAGCTGGCCTGTATTGGGCAAATCTTTAGCCCACTTTTCCACCCAGGCAACTGGAGATCACAGACTAAGCTTTTCTAACCTAACGATAAAACTAACACATATGTAAGAATCACCGTTAAGAGACAAACAGCTTATATACTATTAAAAATTATGAAAATAACAAAAATATGTGAACTATCCTGCAATGAATCTTGGTCATACTTGTGTCGGTTGCACATGTAACTTCATGTTTTCAAGAAGACACAACACATGAACAAATTACATTTATAAATCTATGTCCTACGCTGTAGGACACTGCCACAGGGTAACAGTTGGCATGCTCAACCTCCAACCTCCCTGAGGTCGCCGGTTCCTTCTCCTGGTGCAGCAGTTGAAACAATGGGAAAGTTAGTGAAATCACTCCCGCTTCTGCTCACCCATTTCTACATGGATACATCAACATTAGTCAATTGGCAGATTACGTGTGGTTGAGCAATGCGTGTGTACTCCCACCCTCTCCAAATCGTATGACAAGCGCGAAAGAGTAGGCCAGAATACCCTCTATAATCCCCTTTGCGCCAGGAAAATGGCATGAGCAAGTACTGGCAGGGCTGTACCTGTACCCTTATGCCGAGGCTGTGTGTGTCCTGGACTATCCAACACGAGTTTGAAACTTCATCAATAAGAAACGAGATGTTTATCTTGGTCAAGTAAGTATTTTTGGCAGCCCAGTGACAGAAATACACATCAATATGTAATGCAGTGGCAACACAAGAACACGATGGTCTAGCACCTCGCTGTTATTTAAAATATGTTTTGCTCATGAATAAAACTTCTAACTTATGGTGGGCAGCTCAATACATACAGCTTAGGTTATCTATTAAATAAAAGTTAAATGGGTTTCATCTTCCTTTAGCAGGGATTTTAAAACACTGTACTAACAAAACCTCCGAAATGGAGTCTGAATATGCTGCAGTTTTTTGTTTTACTTTCAAGAGAAAACCACCATATGCTGATAGTCCGAACAATAAATAAATATTTACGACCTCAGATCGTAAAGAAAGAAAAAGCAGCTGCGTTCTTATTTCTTTCTCGCACGGAGAGATAATCTCATTTGGATCTCACCTTGATAAATAATAGACTTTGAATTGGCTCAGGTGGTAAGCTCTAAAGTGCTAGGCTTGCGGCACCTGCTCTGTAATCATGTGCGTTCAACCCCCGTGCAGCTGGTGCCGAGCAGTGTGCGGCTCCCGGAGGGCAAGCCTGAGTTCTACTTCTACTACACCCTGCTGGGCAACAGTGTTGCCAACGACCCCTTCGCTGACCTCCTGAACCCCAACTTCTCGCCGGAGCGAGCCTCCCTTAAAATCCGGAGCACGGTTGATGTTTTGCAGCGCTACTTTTCCTTGCAGCCTCCAATACAGGTGAATAAGCACATAGGAACAACAACCAACCCCTCACAATTCAGAACTTTGCAGCGTTGTATGTGTAACATTTTGCAACATATCAGTATGAGTGATTGATACGACTTTCTAAACATTCTCTTTTAAAACGGTGTGCTAAACCTTGACATTGACATTCAAGTTGTGTGCATTAATCTATGGTATTGCCATAAGATTTCGGTTACTTTAATATATTTTTGATCCTGATTACAAGCGTGCTTTTGTATCCATTGTTCACGGATTTCTATCTTGACTCTGGCATGTGGCTCATACATTGTGCCTCCAGTACATGTACGCTATTTATATCAAGAGTTATGACTCAGGGATGCTGCCATGGTTATCATGGTTAGCACGCTGGATTTGCAATCCAGACGTAGCTAGGTCGATCTCTTGGTGCGGCAGCTAAAGCAATGGGCAAGTTTCTTAAATCCCCACTCCTCTTCGATCCACCCAGGAGTATAAATGGGTATACCACACATTCATAATTCATATTTGTCTCACTTAAAAATCTATTATGAATCATGATGTTGGCTGCAAAACCTCTGTTATGTTCGAGCTGCCGGTTGTGTGTGGTGGGGTAATGTGTGGGTACTTGTGGTTACTGCCACGTCTTCTAAGACTACTCACCGGAGAGGCTCTGTCCCCCTAATGGAGTATTTCTGTCAGCAGAGCAAGCAATTTCAGGGCTGCACCTCTATCTATGCAATGGCTCCACACGTGCTTCTCACCGGGGAGGTTTTTTTTTCCCCCAACACGAAATGTTGTATTTTGTGCTTGTGCAGATTCACCTCTGTTGTGGGGAGCAATCCCTAGGCAGCACGGAGGTGTCACTGGAAGGATTAGCACGCAGAGAGGTGGACATGAGACCTGTGACGGTGGAGGGGGTGTTCGCCCTGGTCCCTCCCAACAAAACTAAGCAGAAGATGCCGCCACTCGCTTCCGACGAGGCTCCTTCCGTCGGCGTTTCAGTGACACTCCGGCGAGAGGGTGCTCCTTCTCGGGTACGTTAGAAATACAACAACAGTTGGCCAGGTGTTTCAAGAGGTCGGCAATGAGCCAACAAGCACCACAGGGATCGTCCATTTAAATCCAGCCTTTAGCCACCCATGATTAAATGGGTTTTTCAAGTGTAGTAAGTGGATCTCAGCTCATTCACCAATGACTACATAATAACCATCACATTAAATCAGGTTTAATTTAATGTTGAGTAATGTCTGGTCTGAGAATAAAAAATTGGTTTTCCTGCCATGGAATGAATATCTGTATAGCAGGGCATGTGGCAAAGTGTCCCCAGGTGTGGATAAAAGTCAGTTAAAGATATCTCAGAAGTAGTCTTCTGATGTTTGCTTCTGTTCGCTGCTCTTTCACAAGTTATGTACTAAATCTTGATTTAAAGCTTTCGTGACTGCAGGGATTCATATTCTTGGTTCTTTCGGTAAAGTCACGTAGAAGGGAAATACAATTATTTATATATTATTTTATTATTTCCCTTCTACGTGACTTTACCGAAAGAACCAATAATAAGTTATGTACTGCTTTGCAAAACTTCAGAATGATACTGTGAAGCTTACCATGATACTGATTGCATAATTGGAATAACAACATCTGTTATGTTCATGATCATCATGGAAAGCAGAAACAAACACAGTTGACACTACAAATGGGAGTAAAAACGATACGAAAACAAATAATCTCTTTAAACGGAATCATGTCCTCAAATCCTGAGAGTCACTTTATTGCACGGGGTATGAATCATTGCATGCCTAGTTGGAAAGTAGAGTGCACTGTTAGCACGTGTGTGAAAGCGTGCAGAGAGTACATTCACTGTGAACCTAAAACGGCATCATTGTGCACACTTCAGGAGGCGAGTCCAGAGAATGCAACATCTAAAAAACGGCTTCCAAGCAAAGAGCCCACAAAGCCAGCCTCCCATCTGGAAGTGAGCAAGCAAGCATCTATAGGGGTGCCGCCCTCCCCACCCACCAAACAATCAGCCTCAAGCCAGCCCAAAGCACACGGCTCATCCCCTCCGCCAAGTTCTTTCAACTCTCCTGAGTGTTCAGGCCATGGAGGCCAAGCCTCCAGGCCACAGCAGCCCCGGTCTGACCATGCTACCAATGGGAAGCCCTCAGGCCAGCCGAGCCAGGCCTCGGGGCCTCCGGTGGGGCCGGCGGGCCTCGCTGACAGTCGTGGGAACAGCACAGGAAACGAGGGCGAGAGCCTGGAGGATGATGGTCGCACTTCAGGAGGTGAGTGCCGAATAAGCAACTGCAATTATGCCAGTCAAATTGTGACAACTCCCGCAGTGGATGAAACTGATAAAAATGAGGGTCGTGTTTCGATTCAATGTGTGTTTACTTTATGAAGCAAGAAGGTTTGTTATCTGTGTCTTATGTGAAGGAATGCAGGTTTGAAATGCTTTTTTAACATCTTCGCAAGTGTTTTGTGGACTAAACATTTTAATTGTTTGACGGATGTGACTACCTCTGTATTGATTTTTTACTGAATCTAAGCATGAATTTTCTTCAATAAAACATTAAAACGTGGGGTTAACATTTTTGATATAATCAGATGTCATATTTGACATGTCCACTGTTGAAAAACTGGTCGTGACTACTGCCATACTCTATTACCACACTTTTATGCCTATTATTTTACATTTATCTTCTCGATTGGAACCCCCCCCCCCCGAAATCATGTTTATCTTTTAAATCACATTTGTTTAATTTCGGCAATGTAAACAATCGCAGAATTAGCTTACGCGTGAATTTTTTTGCATTTCTTTTCTGAAGAGAGTACGAGGGCAAGCGAGCTGGCCTTGTCAGAACGTGTTAGGGTGGATGTCGGCACGACGTTCCACCCAGCGTGCATTGTTCGTACGATCGGATCGCTCCCGGGTCTGATGTCAGGTCTGATGGGATCTCTTGCAGCCCGGGCCTCCAATTATCCCAGTTTTTCAACCTCTGAGGCGTGACTGCTGGCTCATGAGTCCTGTTAGAGCGAATTGTAAACAAATGAAAGAATACTGCAAAAATGTTTCGCACTACAGGAGTGATCGTTTTGTTTTCATATGCCACTTTTCACAACATTTACCAGACAAAACTTTCATAGTTGTATGTACAATAATTGCTTACTCTCTCCGTGAGTTGTGACAACCAATCACCGTTAAACCATTTGTGAAATTAAATAGTTTGTATCAGTATGGGGACATATTTGTTCATGAATTATGTAAAGTTCCATCTGTATAATTTTATTGTCATAGTACAATGGTTTTATCTTGTGTGTATTGTTTCTCGCACGTTCGTACAATATGAGTACAATTTTGGTCACTCCATTAACTTGGGGTAAAGTTAGCGCATTATCTTAAAAAATGCAAATTATAAATAAATTTAATCTCACGCACGAATCTGCATGTAACATGATTAGAAAAATGTATACATCAATTACCAACATCAATCCACTGCTGAATGAAGGCTTTCCTTCATAAAGCAGTTGTCACCATTTCTTACGGCTGCCACAATGCAACAATCCATCCAGCTCCTTCGCATGATCCGATTTTATCACTCCGTCTCCACGATGGACGCTCTCTCTGGGCTACTGATGCATGGTTGCGTGCCTAATAATTACATCCATAAAATTTTCCACGACACGCGTGCAAAGTGTGATGGGTCTGATGCGCAGGCCCTATTTTTTTTTACACAGCAGGGCCCAAGGAAGCTGCTCCGGTGTCCAGCGCCGCTACTGGAAGTGAGTCGGGCCTGACGTCCGGCTCACGCGTAGCCATCCCTGCCACTGCCCACCACATGTGCTTCTCTCTGGACTTGCGCAGCATCCGAGACCTGGCGCTGGACTCTGCTATCAGCTGCTTACTGCGGTCAGAATAGTAATACTAATAATGACATGTTATTTTGCCCTGCTTTGACGATCCACTGATTGGGTGAAGGTCTCCCCCGTGCCGTGTCGGCGATCATGGGGGTTGTTTGTTTGCTGGTTTGTCCGTGTTGGTGAAGGTTGGGTTGCAGAACATGTTTAACATTCTTACAATAACGGTCATAATAATGTCTGTTTAGACCTATATTTTGGTTCTTTAACATATTAGTATTATAGCCACCCTCTATCTGTTTAATGTTTCTGTTACTCAATTTGTAATTATTCTGTGATCGGTATGAAAATAATCACCTTGAGTCGATTTTAACTGCATGGTTTTTAGAATTGTTCATTGATTTATGTTTGTGCAATATTTTCGATCTCTCACATGATACAGTTGTTTTTTCTATTTGAATCATTGCTATACTTTACTTGTTTTTCTTTTATAATTTCGGTGACCTGGGCCAATTTTGGAAATCACACTGTCTAGGTCTCTCAAGTTCTCACTTAGGTGAAAGAGTTAGAAATAAAATTTGCCCTTCAGTCTGTCAGTCCAGTGACAGAACTTAACCAATTTTGACATAGAGGATCAAGCAATGGCTTATTAAGAAACCAGCGCGACAGCTGTTGGTGATGAGCCGTTTACCACCTATGACCTTTGCCATAGGTCAAAAATGTGACCAACATTTTTACCGTGCTAACCTAATAAGTGGGGCACCACCTGGTGGAAGAAGTGGTTCGTTGCACCCCGTGTCAAAAGTTACCTTGCAGGTCAAAAATGAAGCTCAACAGGGATTCAGGTGGCTGTTACTCCGCAGTTTTTATAACAATAGTAGTTTTGAAAAAAAATCAAACCCCTCCATGGAACAGGCTGGTTACAGGCTTGTAGCATAAAAACATCATCACCAAATAGTCGGTTATTTAAAGCATTTCAGAATGGGGCATACTATTGGAGAAATGTGGACCGCAAGCATTTGTAAAACTCCAAAAGGAGCTCATCTGCAAAGTGGCCTGGAGGTGACAATACAGGAAGTGAACCTCTGAACGTATCTGAGTGGACTTTTATCACCTTGTATGCATGGATCTCTGGGTATTCCGGTTTTCTTCCACATGCACACTGATTATACACTGTGTAACAAACATATTTTTTTGTTCCTTGGGTAGTAAGTGTTATTTCCTAATTGCTTATGTCTCAAAAGTACAGAAAATGGCTATTCCCCACAAACTTTGCTTTTGTGACCAAGACAGTGAGTGATATTTTGAAATGTACCTATTTTCAATGAGAAAACGTGTGCATTTGTGTCTTTCGTTCAGATAAAGTGCTGGTCACAAATGCAAAGTTTGTGGGGAATAATAGCCATTTTCTATACTTTTTAGGCATAAGCAATTAAAAATAACACTTAGTACCCAGAAACAAAACTTGTGTTACATAGTGAATTATTAACAATGAAATAACAAAATATACATATAAATTAAAGATTTTTTTAATTGAAACCGATAGATGGTTTCTGAGATGAATGACATTATTATTGCTACATCCCTCAATTAATACATCATTAATGACAATAAATTGTTAACTTGTGAGTACATTAAGTAAAGTGTGTCCTGACCATCATCTTCATTGTGTATGTAACAGCTGTTGTGGCAACACTCCATACTGGTAAGTTGATTTTGGAATCAATGTCTGATTCCCGTGTTTCCACCACCATGCGCGCGTGGCTTCCCTGGTTCCACAGGTACTCGTACCCGTTCTTTGGCAGCGCTGCCCCCATCATGACGAATCCTCCGGTGGAAGTTCGGAAGCACATGGAAGTGTTCCTGCCACAGTCCTACTGCATGTTTGAGTTTGCCACCCTACCCCAACAGCTGGAGGACACATTCTACAGGCAAGCCACGACGCGTGCTGATGCCGGAATTTGCGTTTCTCACGGTGTAACAGGGATGCTGTCGAGGTGAAACGGCTATCACACTGGACTCGAAGTGGTCGTTGCTTCGATCTCCTGGCAACGCAGTTAACACATGTTTCTAGAATCCCCCCCTCCTCTGTCCACCCAGCGATATAAATGGGTCCACCGTGGCTGATAAAAAAGACCGGTGTGGTAAAGTGTTAGTATTTTCACCTCTTTCAAGACATCTGGCCAGCATGGAAGGGCAAACCAAAATATCCTCCAGGGTGGCTTCTGGAGCTGTTTATTGTAGAGGCCTTCTGCCAGCAGTGGCCTAAGCCGTTCATTTGAGAGGCTGCATCTTTACCTTTTACCCTTGGCAATGTGGCATTGCCGGTTACTACAACACGTTTCGTCACGCTGATTTTACCATTGTGCTTAAACGTGCACAGATGGAAATTTTACTGTGTGCATTAGTGATGGATGTTATGGCTTGTAAAGTTGCAGGAAAGGTAATAAAACATTCCTCCGCCTTTGAATTTGGTACACCAAGGTTTCCTTTAAAGCCTGCTTTCACACTTCATTAACACATGTGAGAGCCAGTCCTTACTTGTTTGCTGTGTACTGAACCCACCTGGTTATGTAACACAAGAACCTCCATTAGATGGTGTTGGTTAGGGTGGTGTGACTTTATTGGATGGCAGCAAGCATTGGCAGTCAAGTATTGATGGGCCTCCAAATTATTTTGCTTCTTTTCCCTTGGCTCCATATCCACTCCAAAGTACATTTTGTCCAGTGATGCGAGTGTTATCTTCAGGCCAATGGAACAAATGAGACGGAAGAAGCAACACTTTTATGAGACAGACATTACAAACGATACGAGATAATCGATTCTCAAATGGAATTCCAACACCGAATTGTGACAATTCACAAAATCACGAACCAAGCACCGGCCGGTGGATCGTAACGTGCCAACGCACGGTCGCCCGTGCCTCTGCCCCGCCGCCGCAGGGTGCCGCTGGTGGTGGAGTTGTGGCACCGCGACCGGCTCACCAAGGACAGCCTTCTGGGCGTGGCGCGCCTCCCGTTGTCCCACGTGCTCACGACGGAACGCGCACGATTCCTGGCGCCCGACGGCGGCCAGTGCTGGAGGCAGGCGTACGGCGACCGCGCGCCCGTGCTCGCCACGCACGGGTGGGTAAGGCGAAGGAGCTGCTTTTAAACCAACGCTAAAAGCACGGGGGAAATAGCCCACAATAACTCGGGCGCGGACACTTGGGAAGTTGTGGGTAGTTGTTGGTTATCGCTTAGATTGGAGATCATTGTGACCCATCATGTGCTGATGCTAACATACGTCTATGAGAGTGAATGAGCTCGCTTTAGTTAACAGATGCCTATGCAGTGGAGCAGCCGCACGTTTGAAGTTGGGGTTGGGCTACGAGCAAATGGTTCTCCCTGAGCTTATTGGTTAGATTACAGATTGGTATCCATGAAGTTGGCCCCACCCGCTTCGACACGGATAGGGGAGTTCTATTGCCTTAAGGTTATATTAAAGCTCCGCATATACTGACTATTGAGCCTAATGTTTCATCATTGCCATTGATGTCACCTTGTTGAAGGGAGAAAAATGCTGACGAAAAAAATACCATGATTTTTTTCAATGTTTATGGCTGTTTCTTTTCCATATCGAAATATGTTGGGGGTGTCCGGACAACGAGAATAGAGAAATTACACTTATCTCGCCTTTGTAAAGGTTAGAAATTCAAAAACTGTTAACTCTGCACATTTCCCTTCAGCTCGAGTGAAAAAATCGCAGAGTTAAATTACACGATGACTCTCGAAGACCGCGGAACTGTGAAGACCCAGCAGGTCTTAATCCAGAGCACTCGCAGGTAACCACATTGGTGTGACATCGTGGGGTGCAGTGCAATCAATGTCCTATAGAGGGTGGTATTTTATTGCCAGAGATTACACCAGTGGTTCCCAACCTTTCTGGCCCTATGGACCATTGTTATCATCTCCTAAAAAATCAAACTGCAGATCTCCACGCAGTAAAACATTGTGTTTTGTAAAAAAAAAGAAATCATAGTGTCTGCAACAATTTGGTGGACCACTTCCTATGGCCTTGTGTATGTATGTTGGACTTCTGCTTTAACTGTAGGCTCTGAATATACCTGTCTGGTTGCATATAATGTATCAAATGGAGCTTATTTGGACTTAAAAAGGTGCACTTGCATTAACACAGCATATAAAGACTGTTTTTGTATCCTGGAAGGAAATAGTTTGAATCCTTTCGATTTTAAATTGAATAAACAATGCATATTCCTATAAAAGTAAATATAAAGCCTAGTAATTTTTAATCCTGTAAAGATTTTTTTTAAACATTGTATGAATTAATGAACTTAACTATGCTGCCATGGTGTAATGTATAACACACGGCATTCACAACCCAAAAGTTGTTGGTTCGATCCCTGGACGTGGAACTTTAAATAATGGTGCAATTTTATAAAAATTTCCCCACCTCTGACCACCCAGCATTATTAATCGGTCCGCTACAGTTCGACGATCGGCAGATCGGTGGGGTAAAATGTGGGCACTCCCACCTCTTCTGAAAGGTTTTGCCAGTGTGGAAGAGTAGGCCAAAAAAAACTTTCTCAAGGACTGCCTGGAGCTTCCTTTATTGGAGGATCTTCTGCCAGCAGTTGCACTGAGCAAGATTTTGCACGGCTGTTCCTTTACCTTCCCCAGGAGGAGCGGATTCCTCTCGGGGAGGCTGCACGTACCCGGCCCGAGCCGGCCCCCGCCGTGGCGGTGGTCAAGGAGCCCAGGCAGAGCCAGGAGTACCAGGCGGCTCTCGAGCTGGAGATGTGGAAGGAGACACAGGAGGACTTATTTGAAAACCAAGTACCTAACCTAGCATATATATCCAGCACATCGTACACATTTTTGCTACCATCATAATTTACTGTTTGTGTCGTCCCTCCCTTGCGGCACATCTTGACGCACCAGAGCAAAGGATTCTTGCAGATAATAGCTCGGTTAGGTTTCGAAATTTCGCAAATCTACACAATCCACTCGAGAGCTTTGGATCGCAAGCGTGCGTCACCCTGCCCGACTTATAATAGTGCTATCGAGCTTTTGGAATGAACGTTCTTCACAGTTGCTGATTATGCACTGTTTTGAATGGAAAAACCTGGGTGTGCTGTGATTATCTGATGATTGATCACTGCACATAGGTCTGCATGTGATTGCGCAGCAATGCAATGTGGGCATGGAACACATTTTTTTAAAAATGTTAATCAAGTGCAGCAGCCAATGACTTAACCATTAATGAAATACATGGTACAGCACTGATGGTTTTCATTATATAACAGAAATCTAAAATGTAATCATTGCAGGGTTTTTCTGACACTGAATAAGTGTTTACCTGCGAATGTAGCCTTGTTAAAAATCAGAAACTGCCCTGTTTTTCTGTGTTGATTCGTAACCTCAGCGCCTCTTAAATGAGCATTATTCTCTATAAATACAAACCAGACTTTAAGGCAGGTCCCAGGAATGCCATGCGTCTCAATTAGAAATGTCAATAGCTGTGAGCCGTGAAGTACAAATGCTTCTTGCTTACTAAGGCACGTCGGTACGACAGCCATTTCTAACTTAAGTTGAGGAACTTCATTTTCAAAATGTATTGTCAAAAAATTTAGTTAATTTTTTGTTAAACATTTTGTATGCAAATTGAACCACATGACAAGTGCTCTCACATTATTATGTGTTGTTTTGCTTGTGACAGACGCAATGAATTGCAGTTGCATCTTCGGCGGCGTGCGATTACCGATCGTTGTTTTTTAACAGCTGAAACAGAAGGAGCTCGTGCACATGCAGGCCTTGGCGGAGGAGTGGAAGAGAAGAGACAAAGAGAGGGAAGCCTTGGTCAAGAAGAAAGTACGTGAATCCCACTGTGTGTGTTTGTTTTTGCGGTTGTGCATTGTAGCTCTCCTGTGTGTGTTTTTTGGGTTTTGTGCCCGTGTGTTGTGCACCATGTTGGCTAACGTTTCGCTCCACGTGCTGAAGAGGCTCCCCGGCACGTGGGGCGAAACATGGGACATCTCGCATGAGGTCGCAATGGGGTACCCGATACCCGTACCCTACCCGATACCCGGCTACCCGTACCCGGCCGGGTATGGGTACGGGTACCCGTTTGCGACCCTGGTGCGGCCGGGTACGGGTAGGCCGTGAGTCACTGGTGAGTAACCGTTTGTCACTCATTTCCCAACGTCTTGTCTCTTCTCACAATTCAAGTTCCTAGAATCAACCCACCCGCGCCTGCAACATGGATTCATCCCAGAGGTCGCAATCGGGTACCCGTACCCTACCCGATACCCGGCCGGGTACGGGTAGCCGGGTATCGGGTAGGTTACGGGTACGGGTACCCGTTTGCGACCCTGGTGCGGCCGGGTACGGGTACGGGTAAGGAATCAAAACCCGTTTGCGACCTCTGCATCTCGCCGAACAACACGTGGTGCGACCCCAAAATGCATCGGGGAGCTATAGGTGAATCCCATTTTGGTTGTAAAGATAATTATTTAGAAATATATATAAAAAAGAAAGTGATTACACGTGTGTGAGTCACTTTCAATAAAAATGAACATCTAAGACGAATAAGCACTTCTAGTAAATGTGCCTCGGATAGTTCAACGCTTAAGCAATTGTGTATTGGTCATAAATCAAGCTAGTTACATCATTGGTGTTTTCCAATTGTACTGTATGCAAGTGAAACTTGGGTGATCAATTAACTGTCGTACTGCAGGAGACAGTTGCGTAACCCTTGGACTGCGAGAAGAACCCGTGAAAGTTGACTATCAGAGAGTGCTGGAAAAGCTAAGAGATGTAGCTAGGTGTGATGGAGAAAACGAGGAGACTGTTTGTGTTTTGTCAAGTGGAAGACAAAGGGAATAAAGGATTGGTCCTAGGTTCAGTCGGTCGGTTTAATGGTCAGGTGACCGGTCTGTAATGGGGGGCTCTGGACAATAAAAGATGGACTGACTCATTTCTGAAAGGGTCTAAAGACAATAGACCGGTCTCTGATGACATCCTGACACAATGATAGACAGAGCAGTCGTTGGATAGTCTTGTAAATGTAACACCGCCTGACAGTTTACCAGTGGTAAACAAAATGCCAAAATCGCACAGAGTGGGGTAGCTTCATCATTGGGGTGAGGGGTGCTCGGTAATGAACAGAATGACTGACAGATAATTGTGTTGACAGGTTGCAGAGTATTCCATTCTTGAAGAAAAACTGCGGACAACGCTGTGCGACCTCGAGAGGCGGGAGAAAGAGCTCGTTGCAGGGGAACACGAGGTGAATGCCACAGATGTGCAATCCACAGTAGATAAAACCAGCCCTTGGTTGCACCCCTTACACACACAGCTGCTGAACATAACCTCGTGGATTTTTTTTTTTTTACAAACTGCTAAAATGCTATCTGTTTTCTGCATTAATATTGTGTTAAATGCACCTGATTTAATAAAACTTCGAAAGGTAAGCAGGCTTGAATTCTTAGTCCGTGGATGGGAGACTAACTAGGAATTCCAAGTGACAGTAGAACAGCAATGTTTTCTGTAAACTGGGATTTATCTGCCTTTATCTTGGCACTCCAGTTAACTTGCGTAACACTCGCGAAGATAATTGGTCAAGCATCCCAACAATGCAGGACTCTCCTGAAAAAAGTCCTGAGACACACGGAGACTTTCCTCGGTGAATGGCATCATCAGCATCGCCTGTCAGGGCTACAAAAAGTCAATAAAAGTGGCCAGGGCGGATTTCTGTTCGGAACGCCGCGAGGCCACGGAAGTGCCGTATGAATGAGCAAGCGATCCTCGCTCTCTGCGCCGAGTGAGTGAGCGATTGAGCGATCCTCGCTCACCCCTTTGTCCCGCGCTCTGCAGCTCCGGCAGCTGCAGCGGGAGCTGGAGGGGGAGCGGCAGCGTGCGCAGTTGGAGGCGGCGGACCGCGTGCGCCGTGCGCACGAGGACTGCAGTCACCAGATCGAGCTGGAGCGGCTCAAGTTGGCGCAGATGGAGGAGGCGCGCGGCCACTCACTCACGCAGGTGAGCGTGCCCTCGTGTTCATCTGAAACTTAGATTGAAAACTAATTTCTTTAGAAAGAAGTTCAACATGCATACATACAACGACCTCGCCTGGTAGACAGGAGGCCGCGTGGGTTTGATCCCGGCCCTGACGCCTGTTGTATATTTGGAGATTGTGTACCTCTCTTCCCATGGTCGCAGAGATTTTTCTCCGGGTCTTCCGATGTTTCCCTCCACATGTAGAAACATTCGTTGAGAGTATTTGGCTGCAATAAATTTCCACAAGATGAGCCACTTGGTTGAGCTCATCATTTGTGGCCAAGTCGCTTCTGAAAAAAAGCTATATAGCTCAGTGGGCCTTACCTGGTAAAATAAAAATAGTTTATTCTTTTTTTAAATGCATTCACGTGGGTGAGCTTGCATACGCACGTGCCTGCATAAACGCATTTACTTAGTTTCGCTCACCCACTTGCATGCGCAGGTAAACTGGCCTATGCACTCACGCTGATGCGCTCAATTACGTACCACGTGAGCCCGCCCATACTCTCATGCAGTTGCACTTACCTGCGTCCACGTGCCAGTGTGCTCAATCATCCCCACATACACATGTGCGCACTGAGGTGTGTACATGCTCGCTGGTTCGCGCACACCAGTCTGCGCTGTTGCTGCTTGTTCCACAAGCCTAGGTGTTTCCGCATTCTTTGCAGTCACTGAAGTTGTTCCTTGGCTGTGCAGCTGCTGTTAGATTGCTCAAATTAGTTTCTTACTCGTTGAAAATCTAATTCTCTCCGTATGTGTAAAAAATGTATATACCACAGTCAGGTGTGTCCAGGTCACGTGTGGTGGGTTGAAGTGTGGGTATTCACATATTTTTCAAGATTTCTAGCCAGCGTGGAAGAGTAGGCAAAATACCCTCTGAAGAGGGGCCCTCTTGAGCTCCATCTCGTGGAATCCCTACCACCAGCAGTGGCTTGAGCAAGCAGTTTTAGCAGCTGCATCTTTACCTTTTTGGGGTACTTTTTTTTTTGAGACCATAAACTCACTCCACTTGAAAATGCAATTTAATCATGGGTGGCTGCCCAGATTTGGACACCCGATCTCAGCAGCACTGTCTCAGTAGTCTGACATATTAGTCTCCTGAGCTACCCGGTCAGCCACCTCACTTGCTGCAAAACTCTGCTTGGCTCACGAGAAACAAAGAGCATTGCAATGTCAAATTAAAGCATCGAAAAATCAACAGTGTAAAATTCAGAGAAGGTTTTAAGTTACATCGACACAATTACCACACGAATGTAACGTACAGTCACTTTTAATGCTGTGCCTTCGTCCTTAATCCATTCTAATGTACGATTTAAATCAAAAGGATTTAGTACAAATTCATAAGCTTTACACAGCTGCACGGAAAATATCATAAATTGATGTCAATGCTGGGATTGGTATAGGGTTCAGAAAATGGAATTTGCTTTTGCCATGGGCATGGATCTTTAAGTGAATGCAAACTCCACATTATTCGGCACAATAATCAATGCAATGTTTTATGGAAAGACTAATTGGTTGGCACAGCATCAATCGATAATGAAACATATCTAGCACATTTTTAAACATAAAAATTTGCATTTGCCGGGAAGTCGTGGCATTGTTATCATGACAAGATCGAGAACAATATTGAAAATAATTTCCCATAAAAAATATGCATATGATTAATTTAAAAAATGTCAGTGCCTGATCTCTTGCAACAAATAAATTCTTCTTCTTGGCATTATTAACACTCATGTGGGGTCTACTGCCTTCCTCGTACTTTTTATCCACTCATTTGTGTTCTGGGCCATCTCCAAGTCCACTACACAGTCCTTCGCTCGCTGGTTACCAATTGGACCACCTATTAATGCCTGTCCGACCCCATCCCGGTGGTTTCCTGTTCATCACCTTCTGATGTGAATCGCAACGAATTAAATGGTCACAGTTTAAAATTCCACCCATACTCAATCGCAAACACGCCTCGTACTCATAGCTCTCCCATGTGTTTTCGGGTTCTCCCGCGTGCTGTTCGGCATAATGTCTGACATTTGGCTGCATGCGCTGGAAACGTCGGACATCGTGCAAACAACACGCATTGCGACAGGGGAACCCGCTGGAGAGTCATGCAACGCAACGGAGAAAACCCCCTCAATAGTTCACTAAACACTTGCAGCCTCACTTTCCGTTCAACCGCTTGCGCAGCACCTGACTTCCTCGCTGCGTGCATGCGAGTGCAGCTGCGAGAGGCTGAGCAAAGGCATAAGGCGCTGGAGCGAGAGTTCCAGCAGTACCGCGAGCAGCAAAACGTCAAGCCAGAAGTCCGTCTTCAGTCCGAGATCAACCTGCTCAACCTGGAGAAGGTAAGAGAGTGACCAGAGGCGACGGGTGAAAATATTTATTCAACGGGTGGCTTTGAAATGTTTTTTAAAGATATTTTTAAAATATTTTTTTTGTACAATATTTGTTTTGGAAAATGTTATTCTGAAAAACAAAGTGTGCAACGTTGCCACTGGTAGAGCACGTTTCTGCTCCCAAGAGCACGGGTTCACTGATTGTATCAGTCCGCCACGTGATCTGCTCGTGGTGATCTTGCCCTCTGTTGTTTTTTGGACTTTAATTGTCTAAACGTATATGAATTTGCTCATGTTCACCGATTGCGTCAGTCTACAACGTGCGCTGCTAGTGGTGACCTTGCCTTTAGAGATTTGACAGCGTATGCTGGTTTAAGTGTTAGCCCGAGCCACCTGTGGGAGGGGCACACCTTGGCGCTTTTTTCTATCATGAGATTTAACCCCCATCAGTGCCGAAGTCGCAATTCTAGTGCCACGTGCAAATGTCTTCATACTCAACAAACACTCAGGTTTAGTGTGTTTGGTTGTCGATGTTTCCAAAATGCCATCGCTCGGCTAATCGCCATGTTTTTCCTGCACAGGTTGAGCTGGAACGTAAGCTGGATTCAGCCCTCAAGTCCAAGCTTCATTACAAACAGCAATGGGGTCGTGCGCTGAAGGAACTGGCCAGGATTAAGCAGGTACAGATGCTCCATCCGACATTGCACAGTCTTATTTTTCATTCAAAGCCATTCATCTTTTACCCACTGTACTCCACCTCAGCCACACGCCTTGGCAAAATGTTTCAATCGTCCAAATAGGCAACTGCGTTGGATGTGCTCACAAATAAATAAGTAAATGCACACGAAGCATTTGTGTATTTCTTAAAGTGCCAAATGAATCAAGGATTTGTCTCGCTTACCGGTAATTGACGTGGCAGCACAGATGGCCTTAATGAGCAGCCAAATACACCAGTTATAAAAAAAACGGAACATCTTTGTTTACGGCTGGAATGGTAAACCCATCCAGATCAGGAGCCACTCAGCGCTGAGGTTCGTCGTGTGTGGGATATCCTCCTCCGCAAGCGCGCACTAACCCTAACCCCACTCGCTGTGTGTTCCTGTCCAGATTCCCATTCTCCCTTGTACAAATCTATCACATCAGGTGCCATCAGAACCCAACAGCAGCCGACCTAGACGTGACATCTTACAGCTGTTGGCAGCACTCGACTGTTACAATATTGCTTTGTGGCTCAGTCATTCGGTGATCACTATGACTAAACTAATTATTTGGGTGATGCTGCGTTGGCAGTGGGTGCAAATGCACAAATAACAAAAGACACATTTGTCAGTAACGCTGCATTACAAGGAAAATAAAAACATGTAATAGGCGACTAAACGAGTGAAACTACATGGTTCAGTAGACCGTTGAACAAAAACGTTACAGTAAAAAAAAGGTTAATAATTGCACTTACCATTAGCATATTGTACATATATCCTTACATTGCATAAGGATTAATTATGGTTAAATTAACGACAGCGAGAAACCTAGCCTTTTTTCTGGTGTGTGGCATTATGCGTTATTAAACACAGCTTGTTTATAATTTGGAATGCTCCCAACACATACGATATGCACAATAGGCCTGGATGCTGTCCATAGAGCACATATGTTGTGGGAGATCAGTTGGGGGTTGTGGATGCTGTGGCTGGTTTCCAACAACGGTCGGGTTAGGGAGGGTCACAGTTTCCCTATCTGGACACAGGGTCGCATGCAGATGACCCTCAGAGCTGAAGCTTTCACCTTTTGTGGTTGATGTACATAGTTCCGCTTATGAATTCCTAAAACCATTAGCAAGGCAGAATGGCTGTTGGCCCCCTTTATATATATACAAAAATGTGTGCTTAAGTACTCAGAATGTCCTACCTCTCCATCAGACTGATGGGGATTTGAACTCAAATAATTAATTGACAGTACCATGGTCATATGCACATTGCACTGCCAAGCGTTTGTGAGCTATCCTAATAGTAAATGCCACCACTTCTGGTCACCTGACCCACATCACAACTAAATAGTGTGTTTGCCTCAACAGTGTTGTTCATATTTTCTATATACAGCCCTTTATTTTCTCTTTGTTGTAATTTTCACCCAATTGTATACCGATTGTGCCATCGGCGTCATGTCACGAGACAAAGCATCCATTCGGATCTCTCGCAGAGTCGTGCAATCCCAATAACACAAGCACATCCCTAGCATGCATACGCGCACTTTGTTCTGGACGAACATCGGGGCTGCCACGTTCAAGCTTTTTATTCTCACATTAGAATTTAAAACGTGAGTGCGTCCCACTCAAATCTGTTTAGTCTAATAGCATGATGTTTACACAGGGTATTATAACAATGATATAGTGACGCGTGCTTGCCAGTGCAGAACATTTCACGTTCTCTGGGACCAATGACCTTCTGAACGTGTCTTCTTTGCAACAAAAAAAAAATTGGGTCTGTTGTTCATCCCAGCTGGTTTTGCCGTGGCCGTTGCCAAATTCGAAACGTTTTTCTGTCGGGAAGAAATATGTTGGCTCGCTCACGTTTACATTTTTTTGCAAACTCGCAGACTAGCAGTGCTAACAGATCACGGAGGAGGGACGATTGAGGCTGTAAATTTCCTCGGCTTTATTACTGACAACGCAGGGCACTTGGTCAGATGCCACCAAAATGCATGGGGATATGAACCACATGGTTTTAAAATCGCATACACCACATTCCATTTTCTCGAATTTTTTAGAGACCCTGATATAAAGTAAAAACTCAACGTCTTCATTACATCGTCATATTTTACGTCTCGTCCTTGATTTAACTTCCTCGACAGTTGTTTTTGGCCAGACTTGTTTAAATTATCGTGCTTCCCCCCCCCCACCCTTTTGTTATTCATGAACACTGTTTCATGTATAGATTATGTAAGTATTAAACTAATTCCAGCATAACGGAATCTTATAAGCAGACTTAAATTTCCGTTGCTCGCTGTCTAAAACATCAAAGTTCAATGGCAGTTCCTAAAACATGGCTGTTTGGATGGCAGCGATGGCGATGTAAATTTCGTCTCGCATCTCTTTTAGCGCATTTTAAATAAACGAAAGCTCGCACTCCGGCAGCGCCGCCCGCCCCTGTAATTCAGCTTACGTGTGCATGCGCATGCTGAGCGTTGCAGAGGTCACGATCGAGGAAGCAGCGTGCACACAGATTAAACCCAGGAGGCTTTCTCCTTTTTTATGTTAACACCACCGCCTGACCATCTCAAAACCTCTAAAACAATCGTTTGTCTCACCTATCCATTATCCTTGCCCAGGACGGCCTCGGGAACCAAGCCAAGGCCTGACGGCAGGGCTGAGTGATCGGCGCGTGTTGCCGCAGCCCTCTTTGATAGTCGCCCTGAAATTTAATTCTGTTATTTTTTGCATGTAATTAAATACATGATGTGTGCGAGTGGATTTTACATGTTTGCTTAAATGAAGAAGAAAAAAAAATAGGAAATGTTAAAGTTTAAAATTATAATTTCTTCATCCATGTTATGTGCTGAACATGCTCCTATTCTTTCACTTGTGAATACGTCTCGGGAACATGCATTCATGTATTCAGTGGAGCAGGCAAGTAGCTATCACTTCTAGATTTGAAGCTTTCGTGACTGCAATGATTCATATTCTTAGGTTTTTTCGGTAAAGTCACGTAGGTAAAAACATTAAAAAATAAAATAAAAATCACGACGTTTCGGAGGCAACACAAGCTTCCGTCTTCAGGTGGTACCGTCACAGCCACGACAGCTGTATCAAGTAAATGAGAGATTGCAGGAGCTACCACTCCGTTTATATAATGGTTGGAGAAGGTGGTGGGGCAAGGGCCGCATACTTTTTATTAATATGGTAAGGTGAGGCTTAAGACGAAGAATAGACTATCACTTGTACACGTATTTCCCGCAGAGGTCTTCTTAACCAATCCCAATCACACTGTAATGGAAAAGTGTCATCACTTTTTTTTTGCCCTATCAAAGTGCATTTGTTTTATAAACCAAAAGTATATCATGAACGATTGTATACGATAGACTGCAAGCACAGTTTCAAGTAATGAATGACTCCGCGCACATGCAGACACGATCATTGGGACAAGCACTGTTAGCAAAGTCCTATAAATGGTGATGTGGCACTTTGAATGGGTGGGTGGACCAGCACCATGCCCAGCCAGCCGGCGTAAGCGCTCCAGTGCAGTTAAAAATATAATTCCTATTATTCATCGTGGAATGAACTGCGCAGCCCATTCGGCTTCAAACGATTCAACCCCTCAATTCAATCCTCTTCAGATTTCGATGCATCGTTATGATTCCAAAACGTGATCTGATTAAAGATTAAATCCTATTTTTGCCTCATTTTACCAGTTTTGTTTACAACATTAGCCAAATGTACCTTCAGCATATTATTTTCATGAATTGTAAATGATCGATCTTGCTTCCACGATTATATGCGTGTTTTACGATTGTATGAATCATTTGTGATCAATGCATTGTTACAGAGGTAGTGTAACGATGCAAGTACCGTTAGTGAGTGCCTATTAAGGCGGCAGGGCACACAAGGGTATGGGTGGCCAACACCATGCCTGGCCGTCTTTGTTGTTACCCCAGTGCTGATGTTTACACACTGCACCAGGTTCTCATTTAAGGCTGAGTTGCCTTAGGAGGCCCAGGACAGGTTCAGATATTCTCCACTGTTATTGGTTGTAAGTGGGAATTGAACTCAGGTCGCCGGATTCGTAGAGCAGTGCAGCGCTAGCAAACACTCACCCTTGCATCTGCTACTCAGCTCTGGACACCTGCTGGTGTGTTCCTTGTACCCGTCGCCCTAGAGGGAGCAGGAGAATGCTCTGGCGAGGCTACACAAGCAGCAGACGGAGCTGGAGCACATGAGACTGCGGTACCTGGCGGCCGAGGAGAAGGAGGTAGTGAGGTCCGACCGCCAAGAGCTGGAAGGCATCAAGAATGACCTCAACAGGTGAGCTCTTCCCTTTATTTCCTCCGGAGGATTACGTGTCCACTGAGCATAGATCACTACCTATGTACCCAGGTCGCTGTGATCAAACCATCATACCACTGCAAACGTACTTAGACTGGTACTCGCGCACAATGCATCTGCCCTGGACACCCGGTGGTATAGAGTTCTCAAGAGCCTTCCATCTACTCTGATCCCCCCCACCACCACCCCTCTTCACCTCGCATCAATGGGCTTCTTAAGACCTAGCTCGGGAAATATAAAACAAATAAGCAGACGGTATGCCTCGCTTGCATAAATTATCGGCTCAAATTTTCCACCCTCTATACAGTTGTAAATGTTTTCATTGCGAAACCTTCGCTGCAGTTTTCAATATTTCAACGAGCTATCGCTTCAATGACTGCACGGCAAATTTGTAATCGCTTCAATTTCCCTGGGTGGCTCTGTAACGCTACATGCTCTGCCTTTTTACCCTCCTTCCTGCTGAAACTACCGTGTAGCTCACAGTGTCTGGCCATGTGCTTTCTTGTCCGGAGACTAATTGGCCACCGAGACCCGCTGTCCAGTGTCTGCTTTAATCAGGTTTGATGCGTGGGTCTCGTTTCGGGATGGATTGCCAGCAGACTACAAGTGAGAATTCGCAGGCAGAGTCCGCAGTGCGTCGGATCCCCGGGACGGATAATAAAATAGTTTTGTAGAGCAAGTTTGGCAGCTTTGGCAGAGCTTGGTAATGGGGCATGACTAAAAAAGAGAAATTGGCACCTTCCCGTTGTAACCTGTTAAGCCAACTTTCAAGGAATGCTCGTGTTGCTAAAACCATTATTCAATAAAGGCAGTCCTGTTCCTGTGCTCGCTAGACATTCCTCCTGGGACTTGCAGACAGCCGCATACATTCTGAACTACGTCCTTAGACGTGTAAAAGGGCAGCTAAAATTTGCGAATGCATACAAAGAATGCGTGCATGAGAAGTGGTAGGGAGGAGAGAGGGGGGTTTGCGCCTCACCCCCTGAATTGCGTACGGCAATTTGTTCTCGAACTTTGTTCGGTCCTCGCCTACGAACTTCCTTTGTGAGGCGGCGCTGCCTTTTCACACTGCGTCCTCAGTCAGCTGTTTGTTTTCACGCTTCTTCTAAGTCACCACGTAAATCATGACTTTCTCAACCCAGAAAAGCCAAGCCTATCAGTGGGTCATGACCCGCGGTGCGGGGAATGGCTGCGTTAATGATTTTGGCGCAGAGCTGAAGTCATTGAGCTCAAACGTTGCCTATATTTAACTCGAGACCATAACTCTTACGTGTAGATACAGTACGTACACGTGGGGCGGCTAGTATATTTTCTGAAAAACGGAAGTTAAAAGAATGCAAAGCCTCTATTTTAATACGATATCGCATGACATCAATACAATTTTCTAATAGGTGCATAAATCTCAGGCTTCAAAATAACATTAACGTTTGATGGTCAACATTTTTTGTAAAATGCTAATATCAGTCTTGTAAATGTTGACATCTGGTATATATGCAATGGTGATATGTGTACATACAATGTAGTTTTCTTATGTTAATAATATATAAATGTGGTAGAGGAGGTCAAATGCTCTCATTAGGGCCTCTCTCAAGCTCCCTCAAGTGGAGGCCCCTTCTACCAGCAGCAGTGGCTTAGACAAGCAATTGCAGGGCTCCACCTTTATCTTTCACCTGCTATTTCACAAAAAACAGAGTCGCGTACAAACCTTGTGTGACTTGGGCTTGACATTTACGGTGCTCACATCTGCCCGCAGACTAAAACTTCAGGAGCAGCAGAAGGAGCCTGGACCGAAGCCAGCCCAGCTGCTGCTCGACACCGCTGCCGCCGGTGCTGCCCCGCGTGCAGCCATCGGGGGGCACGGGAGCGACGGCGCCGCCGAGGAGAGCCACGACGCGCACCTCACGCGCCTCATTGAGGAGAGGGACACGCTGCTCCGCACGGGCGTCTACACGCACGACGACCGCATCATCGTAGAGCTCGACCGGCAGATCCGAGATGCCATCTCGCGGCACAACGGAAACGTCGGTCACGCGGGCCCCACGGGCCACATCGGCCACATCAGCCACACCAGCCACACTTGAGGCGGCCACGGCAGCGGCGGCGGCGGCAGCAGCAACAGCAGCGTCTTTCTCACTGTGGAGAGGGGAGCAAGCCGTGTAATAAGTGGGATTGGCTCTGAATTCCCGCGGCAGACTTACCCCCGGGATGAGCCAGGAGTGGGCTGGTGACCACGCGGCTTTCCTTCTTTGCTGCACTCTTGTAAACTTGTCACCTGACCTGACAGCGGAACCAGTCGTGACGTTACGGAATTGACACAGGAGAAAGTCATCGGTGTCTCTCACTTTGGACAACTTCAGGGTCTTGTTTTTGTTTTTAAAATAAAAACAGTTAAAATTACAAACATAATAGATCTTAGAACTGGGATCGCGTAACCTAACCCAAGCGTGCGTTAAGCCTTGTTAATTTTTTTTTATTTTGATCGCTTCCCTCCGGCCGTAGAGGGGGGGTGGGGAGAGGGTGGGAGTGGGGTAGAGCAGGAGTTGCCGTTCCCATGAAGCGTTGGGATAAGCCTGGCACGGCTTGAGTCCGCAATAAAACAGCCGTGCAAACGTGGCATTACACAGGCAAGAGACCTCCCTTCCACGGCTGCCACGTGCGAGGGGGCACATCTGAGGACCAAATCTGAGACCACTAACCCTCAATTGATAATTAAATTCAACACATTGTTTTACGTGGATAAAGCGTGTGTTGTGTAGCTATGCAGTTATTTACAGATCAATTTAAAGTTTTCATTTGGCGATATCTCCAGGTTGTTGAAAAAAAAACTTCCAGGAGGTGTGATTTCTATCTACCACAATCAGAGAGGTTTGTGTGTGATGTTGGTACATGGTCATGTCTATGCCCTGCAAGAGCTTTTATCACAAACACATGCCATTAATCTAACGGCTGAGTTCCACTTTGCATTACATTATTAGTTTTGCATTATGCGTCTCAATCAACACAAACAACTGGGAGTTAAACACTAAAATGTTGTCATTTTAAACATTCATGGATTTAAAGTGTGCGAATTGTAAAGTGATGTTTTCCCGAGTGTGTTTGATTTGATCTCGAGTTGTTCGGTTGTTTTTTACTTCTTGAGTTGTAAATTTTAAAGTATTTTTCAATAAACTTAAATGTTTAGTTTTAATTGTATTACAGAGCAACTCTTTTACAACCTTGATTGTATAACCCAGGGGTCGGCAACCTACGGCTCCGGAGCCGCATGCGGCTCTTTACGGGCTGCTTCTTGACGATATGTACGTATGTACAGTATGTACTCAGATGCATTGCGGCTCTTGAAATACTGAATTTTGTACCGAATTGGAAAGAAATGGCTCTTCTTGTTATTTTGGTTGCCGACCCCTGGTATAACCTATTGCATTTCATAGGTGAGCATGACCATTTTACAATGCTGCTTTCCTTACAAGATGCCTGCCCGTGGTGTAATGGTTCGCACACCTGGGCTTGCTGCTGTCCAAGTTCGATTTTCTGGCGCAACATTTATGAAGAAATTGGCAAGTTTCTTAAATCCCCCCTTCCCTCTGTCCACTGAGCTTGTTGTAAGTGGTACACCACAGTTAGTCAATGGGCAGGTCAAGTGTTGTGGTAGGTTAAAGTGTGGGTACGTCCAGTTCCAAGAAGTCTTGACTATCGTGTGAAAAGTCTGCCAACAATATCCTGGAGAGAGGCTCATGGGAGCTCCCTCTAATGGAGGCTCTTCCGCCAGCAGTGGTGTGAGCCGGAAATTGCAGGACTGTACCCATGACCTTGTTTACTTTTCCAGAAATGTTTTACAAAATAAATGATACTTGGCCATTTTTTTTGTCAACAATAACTAACGAGCCTTTTCGAAGATCCTAAACGCTGCCCACAAGTACTTAGAAGAAAAAAATCTACTTTTAGAAAACATTTCGGTGAAGTCCAGGCATTTCACTTTTCTTCAAGACGTCCTATCCGCCGAGCATTTGCTATCGCTGGGTGAGGGAATCCGACATCGATAAAAGCCAGTGAGCGCTCGTCCATGTTTCCAGCGTTCGTAGGCTCGGTGTGCCCTGTGGGGCTGCTGCTCATGGCTGCTGGAAGAGCTGATAGATGGCCTGGCAGTGCTGTGGGCTGAAGAAACATTGATAGATTTAAGAGCCACCCAAAGATGCCTTAAAGACGATCGCATAAATCCATGAAGGAAATGCCGAGCCAGTCCAGGGCGGTTTATCTTGCGCCCTCGTACTATTTTCACTCAGAAATTTCAGCCTCGATAAATATTGTCCTGTTTAGAAATTACGACCTGAATAAATTTTGACTCTTAACCTGCAAATGCAGCACGGTATATGTATGTTCCTAACATGGAAAACTTTTACTTTCTGAAGAATTGTGTTAAATTTAAATGTGGGGATACTCATGTGATCATGCTTTAGTAGACTACACAATGCAAATCCCACTCATTAACAATTAACTGATGGACCAATACATTTACAAACATTCTTAGAATTTATTTGTGGATTGTCACTATAAGTGCAGCTTTTGAACTCACATTTGGTTCAATAAGTGCGATTTTTACAATTATCCCTCTGAGAAGCTTATACAAAGCATTTGAATGTATATTTTTTAATTACAATTATTTGTGTTTTCAAGAAAATGGTGTTCGGGAGTAATTTAGGTGGGAACGAGTTTAAAGTTGGCGAAATGTGAAAGTTCATTTGTTTCTATTTCCTCCTGCTGTTTCATTTTATGATTTCTATAACACAAGGGGGAATGCATCCCAGCGGAGCTTTCGTTAGGGCCATTTTGATTAAGTGTCTGCCAAAATGCATTTGCTCTGTTGACATAATTTTACCTTTCAGTTTCCCCAATTTAAAATTATTACGATAAATATGTTTGCCTTTGCTGATTTATACTTGAACTTTTTTTTTTAAGTAAAGTCTGCTGCCCAAAAAGATAAATAAATCATACGCAATAGAAAGAATAATAATTGCCAAAACTCAGCCTGACAGTTGCTAACAAGCCGACAGGAACCGAGGCAGAAGTGGCAGCCCATCTTTTGCGCGCTCCACTTTCACCGGGAATGATGTTGCGTCTTCTCTGCATTGGCGCCGGGCCCTGTTTTCACACCGTGCTGATAAGTGTGCAACCGTTTTAATCTCCGTGTCAAAACGCTCCGAGGGTGGTAGAAATGTAACGTAAAAAGCGTGGCGTAAGAACGGGCGCGTTGACACGGCAGATGGAGTGATATGGCACGTTTGTCCGCGGGGGTTTCCGTTTTATGGAATTTGCAGCGAACGTGTGAGCACTGCGCTTTTCTCCACCACATTTTCCACTTCAGAACTATTATACTTACCCAGAATGTATCTCCCCCACTAGCGGGAATAAATAAGTAGTTAATGGTGCGGCTTGGAAACGGTGGCATTCTGCCGAGACAACAAATGTTGTACCTAAATTTTCCCTGCGTGACAACAAAGATACGGTTTCAAATTAATCCCATTTATAAGGAAATTCTGTTTTCAAAAGGAGTGCATTTCCTTGCACACCCAATCAGTCTTTTGTTTCACTGAAACACAACTCTGCGCACGCTGACGCACACCAACGTGCTCAATGAACTCCCGGTGTCTCTTGATTATGAAATTGCGGCAAAGCAAGGTTTGCATTTCCTGCAACATTACATTCCGGAGTTGGCCCATTGTGCAGCAGCGTGATGGGTACATTTCGCTGGAGTCACCTAATACAATGTACACCCAACAAGACTTTTCAGGGTGAAGCTACACTTCACAAATATACCTGTACCACAGTGCAATGACAAAGACCTCCCGCATGGCCTTCGCAGATGTGTGGGGCAAGTGCTGTTAGCAAGCACCTAAGAGGGCAGGAACAGCGCTTGATGGGCTGGAATGGCTATTAAACCACGCCTGACCACCTTTGTCTTCCCAATGTTGAGGATTAGGCGACGCATTGCGGCATGAGTTCATGTAAAGCAGAATTTACCTAGAGGAGGCCCGGGATCCGTTCAGATATTTTCGCCACTGATGTTGGTTGTGGCCCGGAATCTCACTCGCGTCAAAAATTTCCACTGCTGGGGTCAAAGCCTTCTTGTTTGACACCGTTTGTCTCTGGTCTTGTAAGTACAGCCCAGCTGCTCACGCACCACGCATCTCCACCGAGCTCCCTTCGAACTGGGCAATTGGCCAAACGGGATTAACAAATGAAATGAACTCAAAAACGAAACGCAAACTCCTGTGAGTCCACAGCTGGATGAAGACTCCCTACGCCGTGTCGGTCATGAGGGCTCTTTGACCATCCTTCACTACACTGGTCAGTGCATGTGAATGAGAGCTCGATAGCTCATTGGATTCCTCCAGTATATAATCAGATTCGGATGTTGGTAAAAAGATGAAGGGTGGTAGGGGGGAGGGTAAGGAGTGCCGGACTGCTTTGGTCAGCATTTGCCGCTGATGTTAACCACCACGGCCAGGATTAAAACGGAGGTAACCGAGTTCAGAGCGAGCAGTATTGAGAGCTACTAAAAAATAAAACAAGGTCTCCCGTTCAATTTAAATTTGTAAAAAAAAAAATGTATAAAAAATGCGTTACAGGACTAAAAACGCGCGTGCACAGTTCGCAGATTTTCTCGCCCTGCGTTCGTACGCCCGTGACAATGACAGTCGCCAATGACCCGTTCGACGGCCGCTCCTCTTTTCCCCAAAGTTGCGAGTGCCGCCGTTGATAACGCATTGGGCTTGCTCTGCCCAGAGGCTGGCACGGCAGGTGTGATGGCTTTAGTCACGCGAGTCCGCGTGCACGTGTTACCTGGCTGCAAGAATAGCATCCACATTTATAGGCTTACGCGTAGGCAGATAACCTAAACCCAAAGCCTTCTCTGTGACACAACACCACCTGCTCAAGCCAACAGCGATACACCGCGACCACCCGATGCTGTATATGGATAAACCTCGCAAACACAGGTGGCGACTTAAAACCTGTTTAAAGTGTCTAAACAGTTGCCATCGATGCGAATGAGTTTGAGCAGAGCTCTGCGTGCGTATACGACCAT